TACCAGATTCGAGCTTTGGAATATTTGAGCCGCCTGGTTTCATTCTGCTGAACATTGCTGCTTGCCATGTAGACATGGCTCTGCGATTAGCCGTTCTTGTCGGTATCCTCCACGCCTGCCCAACCCTTCGAAATTGTCTTCTCATCATTTAGTAATAATCGACTCAGAGGAAGATTATTTTGTTCTGTTACAATACTTGTCGGACCTCTGCGTAAAAGTAACAATTCGAAGGTAGCCTCTATTAGAGATTTAAATTTATTTACATTACCGTGGGTTAATACGTAGAACAATACATAAGAAAGCTTGACACTGGAAAGGTTTCTTGGTGACGAATATTAACCTCTGTTCTCTTCAGCATTCTTACCAGTTAATAACATCCAAAGTCAGGCATTATATATGTAAATGCAATCTGTAACGTAGCAGTTCCTGGAAAAAACAGTGGTCCATTTCATTGTCACATGCATATGTATGGTAATATAATTGGTAGATATTCGTCTGCGTAAGCAGTATGATTGGTCCCGTTATGTTAGAAGAAACGCGGGAAGCTTTCGGTGGATAGATCATGAAGCGTTTGTCCCATTTACGATCGTTCTTATGTTTCCTTGCGGCGACTGGCAGTGGCCTTCTGGCTCAAATTACCAACCACCGCGGTGGAGAACAGTTAAAACCTCCGAAATTTTATCGACCTCCTTCATTGAAGAAGGCATGGGAGAGAATATCGGTAGTGGTCAATTATCCTATTGAGTACATTGTTTTTGCGTTCTGTATTAATAAACCCTATTTCCGCCGTTTTTCAAGATCCTGAATCGTAATAATCCCAAAAAATCCTAAAATTGACGCACGTGACATTTCGAAACGATGTTCCGTCGGCATTATCATCGATAGTAATAATAACGATTTAGTGGTATAACGTTCACAGAGCACAGTTACGGGGTTCCGTAAAGTTTGTTGTTAAATGAGCATTAGATTTTCGAACATTCGACTGTTTATTGTCTCTCTTAAAACATAAAATCATTCCGACATTTGATGGCTGTGCTTTAAAACGGGTTTCGTTACAACATCTGCGTTATGACAGTTATTCACAACTGGCATAGTTCTGCAATCCGTAATATTGCGTTTCTTGAAATGGGTTGTTGGTTGGTGGCCGGAATGAAGTTGTGGAGTGTCGGCGCAGTGTGTAAGAGGTTTACTTCGAACTCAGGAGGTGCTGAATTCGATTCCGGTCGAGGGCAAATTTTTCTGTGGTTCACGAATTCCCTTGATCAGCGAGTTTACCGCAGGCTTGTTCTGACTGGCGATGTTCAGTTGGTAGATCATTGAACTCAGCAACGATGGGTCCTGAGTTCAGGCCTTGATCAGGGTCACTCTTTCCTCTTCCTTGAGAAGTTGGTAGATGAGTACCACGCTGTGGGAGGGAAACAGAAGGCTACACACTATGCTTGCCACGTGGATGCAGACTCTGCCTTGGTACTCTTGGCTGATGGCGTAGAAAAGATCAGCACCGCGCCATTATCTTCATAAAAAGAAGGGCGCCAAAGTGACCACGTCATGAAAGTAAACGAAGATTAATATTCCAACGGTGGCAAATTTTCCCTTCCTGTCCGTATAAACTGTTTTGACCCCACTGCATTCTACGAAGCCCATGAGGTATATAGCGTTTTTTAAGGTGTAATATTTCTTGTTCTAAACACCTCTATGTCATGCTTAAAGATGGCTGTTCGTTTGACCTTTCGAGCTCATAGTCCTGATGTGATTCGACAACTTTTTCATGAAAATAGCGTTACAACTGTAGTATCGCATGTGCTATTCCTGCAGCGAACGTAATCCTGAGAAGTCTTAGCCAATTTAGAAATGAAGTGAATGCTTAATCTTAGATATACAGAATTCTCGTAATATATTCAGAGAGATCCTCGGCCACGGGTGTAACCTAAAGAGTTAAGTGGAACATTACATTCAGATTTTTGATCACAGGAACGCACGCTGACCGAATTATCACGCACAGTTGCCACGATCAGAACATTATATTAACAACGTTATGTTAAATTTATGATCCCCCATATTAATCTCGAAAACGTACCGTGTAAAAATAAAATACATATCTTACTTTACACCAATACTGTGGTAGTTTAAGACAGATGGAAATCTTACTGCTGGTCGTACCGCATCATTGCATCGCCCTCTTGCTTCTGGACTTCTTAAGGACCATTTAAGCAGGTCATGGCATCATGGTATTTAAGCGCCTGCAATACGTAGGGCGCGTCTCAAACTTGGGTTGAACAGATGAATGTTTAAACCCAATAGCCACGATCTCCTTACTTCCAAATGGCCCTGAATTTTAGATTCTACTATTTTCTCACAATAAACGATTAAACGTTAAGGCGAGCACATGTGCACGTATTTTCGAAAAGTAGCGACAAACTCTTGTGAGATATAACAGGATTGTATATTGTATATATTGTATATGAAGCGCCAACACTGCGGTCATTATTAATGCAACACTCTTCAGTTTGGATGTGAGTTGATCAGTAATTTGTGACTTTTATTAGACTTGCTAACTTCATTAATTTTTTTGAAGTATTGTCTGTTTTGTTTTACTTCGTTATGACATAAGCAGTATCGTTAATTACCGTTTTTTCTACCGTATGAATGTGGAACTACTTACTTTCATTTATACATAACGATTTCAGTTACTTCGTCTCAATGTAAAGGGACAGTTTGCTTCCGGAGAATGGTGCATTAGTGCTTCACATGGGCAGCTAAATGCCGGACGATGCGTTCCTATGACGGTCGACGGACCCTGGCGTTACGACAAGGTACTTATACTTTAAATGTTTCGTTTCCGGTTGATATCGTAATTTTGCAAAAACTGTATCGTTTTCTTATTTAGACTTCACAACAAATATCTAATGCTCCTTTAAACAAATGTGTCGCGCTGAAGCGACAGACGTCGCAGCTCGTCCTCGCAGAGTGCAATGCAAATGACGAAATGCAGCGTTGGGTTTTTAACGAGATCTATCTTTGATTACGTATGTCATGTTGTGCTTTTTCAGGAAATATTTATCATACTAAGTTGTTTAGGCTTTTTTTACTTGTTGATTATTTGTGTACATCGGTTGTTGATTTAGTGTTTTGCGACTGTTGAATTGCAGTGGCTGCGGGTTTTTCAAATAAAAGCAGTTGTTCGTATGTGCTGTAGAACTACCACGGTGGTCATTAATCACGCCGCGCAGATATATGAGATAATCGAGTATCAGAATATGTTCTTACGTCGAATAAGTGAGCTAACGCATAAGTCCTCCAAAAGCAGGTTTTATGGTGTGTTGAACCTCCTTTCTCCTTGCTTGTATATGCCTGGGGAGGCATTTCAGGAGGCTGCGGCTTCAAACGTTTTTAGCACTTGCAGTTCCTCATGAATCTCCCAACATTTTGTTCGCTAAAGTTCTCGCTCGTTATGAACAATTCCCCAAGAGCTGGTACTCATGGGTTACCGCATGAATAAAAATAATGCAATGGGCTTGCTAATACGCAGCGAAATCTGTTCTTGGAGGAGTTATATGCCATCTTTAATTAGTCGAAGTGAGGAACTAATGAAAAAAATGCTGTGGATGTAGGCTAGTTATCTTTTGATTGGTTAGCTTCCTTTTCCAAAGTTCTCTTTTGCGTTCGGGTATATAAAGGCAGCTGTTTCACTAGAGATTTTCGGCTGATGCGGTCTACTGTCAAACGGACACCTCAACTTCTCGATTCCAAAGCGCTACATGCCGAGTGCGTTATATAATCGAGCTATCGAGCTCCGTGAGCTAGTTTATGGCTTTGAAAAGAGACTTTGCTTTTGGAGTCTCCTCTAGCTTCCTCAGTACGTCCAATTCCCAGAGTGTAATTGTGATTTTTTGTTGTAGAAATGGGGAGGCTCGTCACCAAGTATCGTGAACTGCAATGTTCACAATAGCATCATATCTCGTCACTCCATCAGTCGTCGAAGACGCCTCATTTCTGTGTCTTGAGCCTGAGATCGTACTTTTGGCAACATAATGCGATTAATGCCGATTCGTGGACTAAAGGTTTTTTTTGAAGGTACTCATCTTTACCGTGGCAAAAACGCTACGAATGCCGCCTACCCAAGTGTCATGCTGAAGAGAGAGACACTAAATACAGTTTATAAGTCATGCAATGAACATGATCTCCGAAGCAGCAGGTGTTCAAATGCCATAACGTAGTGGCCCATTTAAAGTAAGCGTTTTATATAATGTACTTCGTTTAAATATTTGGCATGGATATCCATGCATGGTTCGGATCAGTGCAGCGCACAGTTAATGTTACAATGCTATCTTTGGTTTCACGGCAGACTGTATGGTGCACAGTGGGCTGGCTGACTTTTCGGCTGACTGTCTCCCGAAGCAGTGGGCTGAACATACATACATGCATACATGCGCAAAATTCGACATGAACAAAACTGATTTTTTGTTATTTATATTTAAGTTACAATGCAAAAACGAAGCTTAAACGATCACTATGACCCCATTAATATAAACATATAGTTCGACTGTAAAAATGTAACTGCTTGAAACCAAAACGGAGCTA